CGTGGAAGTCATCTGGGATATACGTGATTATATTTACGAGCTGAATAGATCAGTATGTGGTACATTCGAATTTTATTCAGTATGAATAAAGTTTTACTTCTGCAAAAAATAGCAATACAGGATGATATAAGACCAGAGGTAACCTGGTATCTTATTAATAGCACCTTCAACTAACACAGCTTTAAATCTTGAGTGTGATTATAATAAGAAATACTTTTAACAGGTTCTAACATTCTCAGCAAATACGTTCAGAGTATTACATTCAAGTTGCATATGAAAATGGAAACCGTATCCAATCACTAAGCTTAGTGAACATAAATGGAACAACATAATGAAATTAACATGCCACTATGAATTAGACAGCCGAAAAATATTGCTTAGCTTTTAAATTTACATTATTACATTGATTATTTGAAAAAAAGGAAATGTATGACTCAGTTGCATGGTTAGAATTGTCGATTGAACTATTTGATCTGTAGATAGTGTAAATCGCATACATCCATTAAGTTATATCTACATGTATGTTTGCTACTGTCCAATTCAGTATATTTGAATTAAAATAAATCGGGGTAAAAAACAACTGAGGCAAAACAGAATAAATTCATTTCATTTCCTTGTTTCTCTTTAGTTGCTTACAGCTGTATTTATATCAGAGTATGATGTAGAGATCTAATTGACTAACAGAATTGCAATAAATGACAATTATGAGTATTAAGTTTATATTTATATACATACAAAATGCGTGACATAACGACCACATGATAGCAATACACATAAGTGTACATTTGGCTATGAAAGCTAATCAAAATTTAGTCAAAATATCAACAGAATACTAGTGCAGTTAACTAAAAATAAAATAAAGAACTGCATTTTCTGTAAACCATTTTGAGTTTTTTACTTATACATCTGATAGATACGCCTGTTTTTGTTTGTAAGATCGTTTAAAATAAATGTACAACATTACAAAGAGATCGATAATGCAAACGTAATAATTGTTAGCATTTTCTCAGTAAGCTTATTTATCTAATTTGAAGCGTCTATTTTTTATTTAATTTCAGTATAAAACAACATGGGAAAATCAAACAATATTTGACTTAACAAATTAAAAAAAGTATTGATAGTTAAAACTACTTCAGATAAAATTGTAAAATACTTTCTTATTACATTGTGTCACGTCTTTTTTTTAAAAGTAGAATAACCTTTTCCAAAAACAATAAACTATCGAACTATTAGTTTAAACTTGGTCCGGGGTGTAGATCTGCAGGAATTTGAGTATAAATTCGCATATAAGTTCATTGTGAGCTTTCTTTTATTGATTTTTAAATTCTACTTCATTGATTTCTCTCTTTCAGAGGAATATCTACATCATCATTGTAGATAATAAATAGGAAATTATTTTAGAAAACATATATATAGTCAACCAATTTAGTCATTCACGCATACACGCACATAAATTACAATTTCTCTTTTATTTCTTATTATTTTTTTTATTAATAATTTATTTACTTATCATTAATTTTCCAGTTGACTTTTATTCGATAAATTATGTTCGTTGTATTTTTTAACATGATTGCTATCCTCTTTTTTTTCGTTTAAAGCCCATTATATGTGGGTAAATTTTGTTTCTCTAAAATATGAAATGAAATCAACCTGAATATATTTTTTTAGATGTATGTACACTGCAATATGCTTGGCAAATCAGGTTTATTAGCTCAAGGCCAAATTGTAAATTAGAGATATTGACAAGTGTATGTTATGCGTTGAAACTTTGCTTTACTTTCTGAGTAAATGTATTTTGACTGTTGGCTTAAAATCGCTTTCACTTTTCTGAAGGAATTGAATGTACATATTTATGAATGAATTTGTACATGTACTCTATTTATGTTAATTAATATTTAATCTTCGTACTCACTCTTTGTTTTCTTATTCAGGTAGCTTGTCGATAAGTATGAGACTCTGTCAACTACTAAACGCAACACAATTTATGAAATGTGTTGTTGCATCTTTGATTATAAGGTAACATTTCGAATTTTTAAGTAACAATTATTCACATTGTAATTAAGTTTGATGTTTGCATAGCGCTAAAGTAAATGACATTTTTGCTTTTGTTTCCAAACTCGTCATACAGATGTACAATTCACTAAACTTAATTAGAGCGACTAACTCAATTTAGTCTTGAATTTCAACAACGAAAAATTAAACATTTATAAAAATCACAGCTAACTAAATGTAATTTTGAAAGTTTAATTTAAATATCACCATAGTTTTATATATTTGCTCAAATATTCTTCAGTGTTGCATTTCATAATTCATGTAGTTTCGATGAAATAAAACACTAGATATTTAAATAAAAAAGATATCACATTTAGTTTTGTCTAATGTTATAATATACAAGCCATTTTCATATAGAATACAATATTTAGAAAGTATCAGTGAATAGACCATTTAGTATTATGAATCCACCTTTTTAAATGTTAAATAATTTTCTGATAAAAATCTTAAAATCTATGAAATCACTTATTGATAAAAAAACCATTCACATCGAGTTTATGTACACTACATTATGTAAATAGATCGTAGAGATATTTCTTGCCTAACGATCTGAAGTGTTTATCTGTTTAACTTAAATATTTAGATCGTTTTTCTTTTTATAAAACAAGAATAAATTATTTATCCAATTTCCAAATTATTTGGCTTGGTTTTAAGTGGTTTTTTAAACCTACATTTGAAACAGATGTAAATATACGTTTTTGATAACTAAGATTATATTAGTATTTTGCTTTCAAATGCATAGAAACATGTTTTTGTTGGGAATGCTAGATCCCAAGAACTCACTTGAAAAGATCCTAATTTTGGATTTTTTGTGTTTTCGCGCATAAGGTGCTCAGTTGACCTTGAGAATACATTTCCCACTGGCGAAATCCTTGACTGTTATTGGTTGATGGATTAATTTAGTACGCTTATTTGTGGCTCTTCCAAAGGCATTTCTATCATTGTATAAATAAGCTTGATTTGTATGCTTATCGACCTCGTATTTTCTGGGTGCTTGTAGAATTAACTTTCTATTCCTCATCAAGACTTCTTGATATAGTTAGCCGGGCTAGGGACAAACGGATTAGAACAGCATATCTTATCACTGCAACATTTGTCTTTGCACCGTTTACCGAGCAAAGAGAATTTGCAATAGTTCATGCATATCGATTGACGAGCATATCATTTTTAGGATGTGGAAGCCATTTTACTTATATTTAAATGCCTTAAGATTTATATATCTAAACATTATATTAATTTATTTGGTTTTTGGTGATTGTGAACAAAGTGAGTTTCTTGTTTCAACCAGATATATTTTCAACACTTTTGTGGAAGTGTTTTCATAATACAGATGTAATTATATAATCTTTCAATTTATCAATTTTGAATCACATTACCTTCAGTGATGGTCATTGCTGTATGCGAATACAGTAAAGTTTTATTGGTATCACGTATACTTTGGCACACTTAATCGTTACCGATATCACAGTGTTTTGTATTTAATGAATTTTAAGTTATATCCATCAATGTGCAAACTGTCATGAGTCGCTCAATATCAATACGCATTTTGTATAGTGTTTCATAATTGGTGATCATATAAAGCCCCTCACATAAAGGTTTAATGCAAGTGGACATCCGCCAATAGGGAGTATTTGAAGTCTTGGTTCAACTTATGTTCGCCTTGAGATCCAAATCTGTTTCGGGTAAAATCACAGACATTAACGTATGCACTATGACCTTTAGGCTTTAATTGATCCTTTAGGCTGAGTTTTTATATATTTATCGTTCTCTTAGTAATGAACTGTTTCAGAAGGTTCATTTTTATGAACAACTAAATTTCACAATCACAAGACAGAAGTTATCGTCATACTTGTTTTGTAACTTGCTGCGGTCATTTCGCCACACATCACTGAATATATTTTTAAAAGGTGCTTGGTAGACTAAATTTTGTAGGTGTACAAACTCAACCTGAAGGTAATTACCACCGAGATATTTTCCAAAGTTTTTTATTTCCTTAAATAATCATTTATTCATGAATTTGATTTGTTCTGGATACTTATCAATTAAAGCCTAATTAGTGAAGTTCTCTTAGCTGATGAAAGCACTTTCTGATCAAGTTTTCGTGAATGGATTTTCTTGTTATAATTAATTTAGATGTCATCAACCTAAATCTAAGTACATATTTCTAATCACGTAAATTATGATAAGGAGATTTTTATAAAGTGGAAAAAATTCAAGATATTAAGTAAACAAATAATGTATTGGAAATAAATTGTTCAACAACTTCAGTAACAATCAAATTGTATTCTGTTGATATCATTCTGAATAAAGTGTATTAAAAATGTTAAATAATAATTTGGCAAATTTATTCACAGGTTGATAAACATTTTTTAAACAAAGTTATCTGGGAATAATAGCTAACATATTATGAACAAAACGAGCTTATTTGTTTACATAAATTTTAAACAATGACTATATGATGAACATTGAACAGCATAAAAAAGTACATTATATATATATATATATATATATACCAAGAGAAACAATATTATGCCTCATCGATTATTGAAAAACCCCACGAAACCGGTAGAAATGGAAAGTAACACACAATGAGGTAAATCTTTGCACAGATTGTAATTGCATTAAACTTTACAGGAATTTGAATAGTACAGTTTAGTAATTTAAAATAACTAACTAATCAATGCAAATTACTTTATGCATAGATATATAAATCTTTGAAAAGAAAACAAAAATTTATGACTTAATGAAATTCTGTATATAAATAAATATATACACAAAAGACATTTAATAATATTCGATTGACTGTTTTCTTTTTTTATAGACAAATACATTCAGTTGTTTTTCCATGAAAACAATGAATTATATAATTGTGACAAGATAGTTTTCTAGTTGGTTATCTGGTAACGAAAATAATTTATCATGCTAATTATCTCTCAAATAAATCTGTATGTATAATAATTGGACAGTTCTTTAAGAAAAAATTCATAATGATTTTAAGGTACTCCATGAACAGACAAGAAAGTTGAAATCAAACAAATAACTTACGGAAGAGTGAAAAGAAATCTATGAGAACAAATTGTTTTTTCCTTTAAAGTTGGTTCTGATTTATGTACATAAATGTTAGGAATACAAACACACAGTAGGAATTGTTGTTCACTTATGTGCTTCATTATTTTAATTGCCATTTTCTTCTGAAACATATTGAATTGGATGAAAACTTTAAAACGAATGTTTGTATTTTCATGTGCGATTTACTTTTCTTGTCTTACTGCTTTGTAAATTGTTATAACTTCTCTTTGAAAAATAATTCATTTTACCGCCGAGATTATTTGCGAAATTACTGAAAAATATAAAAGTATCTGTGAAATGTAAAGGTGAGAATTGAAATTTTTAACTGTTCTAACTCTCATACGAGGATTTTGTGTTTCCAGTAAGCTGAATTTCATTTGATTTTCTTTGGACAAATATTGATTTTGATCTATTGATTGACCATAATTATCTGCATCAAATTAAAATATAAAATAAATATTTAATGAATTGACTTTTACATTTGAAAAACTTTAAAAATGGAATTTAAACAGTTTGACGTAAAACACTTCAATCGCACTTAATGATAAATTTTTGTGATGAATCGACGTCAGTTAAAAGATCATTGAAAACTATTAACAACTGGTTTGTCTTGATGTAGTAATCTGCAAGCATGAACTTGCATTTTGGTAAACTAGCAAAATAACCAAACCTTACGAGGAAAACAATGTAATGCAGATATTTATTGTGAAATACATATATATCTTATTTTACAAGTTCATTCATTTTAAAATCAATTCTGTCTACATGTTACTGTCTCATGGGCTATTTAGTCAGTGTAAATGGTTATCATTTTGATAAATTCATTATGTAGCTACTAATTAGTCAGAACGTAATCGTTAATTACTAAAGTGACTGAGTGAGAGTTTTTATATGTGGACGATAATTCTAACTAAAAAATTTTTACAATGTAAGTTATTTGTTTTATTCTGTTTATAATATATTTATAGAGACATAACATGGAAAAATGTAAATATACAAACTACAGGATTTTCATCCTTTTTAAAACATGTTATCTTCATCTGATTTGCTTTTTATCGAATATTTAACATTTTATTGATAACTGAGCAATAGTCAGGAACATTTTCCTACTAATATTTCAGCTGAAAATTTCTATCTAGATATAATTTAGTTAAATTTATTTTTAACAACATACAAGATTTATTCAGCTAGTGGCATAAGGAATAAAACACATTGTTGTAAACATATGCCTCATCTTACTTATTAAATTGTTATTATTTTTGTGGATTTGGGAATAAATATTTCTTAAAAAATAAGATTTTATCATTATGAAACAGTTGTTAAACTTGAACATATTTGAGTGATTTTTGTTTCCTGTGTTTCGAAAGAAGAATGTTCTTTTTTCTAGCGATTTAATTTAATAACTGATTTTAGTTAGAAGTGAGTAAAATGTTTTAATTATAAATGACGATGAATAAAATCGAACAATGTTCAACTATAAAATCTTAACAAGAATTATTATTATTATTGTCTAGTTTTCTAAGATTTACATTTTATTTTAAAATTTGATAAAATTTATTGGTTAAACATGGCTTTAAATAAATTGTTAATAGTCTAAACATGTTCAGATATGATTTTTAGTTAGCTAAATAGTAAAAAGTTTTTCAAGCAATAACTGTCTATTTTCATGTTTGTTACAGTTGGGCAATTTAGCCTGAATAACAATGATTAGGTAATCTAACTTCTCTATCTGTTTATTCACTGAAATATTTTAAAAATAAATGTTCATATACTTAAGTTTCAACGTGAATGCTGATAATAAAAAAGGAAAAGAAATTTATTTAAAAATGTTGAATTTTTATAGGTTGATTGATTACGAAATCAATTCATTTTTACCCATTCATTGTGTTCATTACGCTTAAGATGAAAACGTTTCTGATGTTACTTGTTATCCTCAGTCATATTTTTGCTGATAGATTTTTAAGTTAGTCATAGTTGTTTAGGATTATGTGGTTTTACTTTAAAATGACAGTAACAGAGTAATATAATCAATCATTTTGATATTACTATCACTGAACAATCGGCTAATACAATTTCTAGAGTAAAACAGGAAACCAATAGCTCAGGTGAAAAATAATGCGAGAATAGGTAGATTGATGAAGTATAATAAAATATCATAATGGACGTTACTGTAGAACACATTTATTCATGAAATTATGAATCCGGAAATGTAAGACCACCAGTGAAAACTTGGAGACATAACACCATCGTTTCGTCATGGTACCGGACTCCTCGACAATGCGCACCCACGACCTTGCAACCAGGAATCGAACTCATGACCTTCAGGCTTGCGAAGTGAGCTCTTAACCTCTGGATTCATTAGTCGACAAGTAATAGTGTTAGTGTCAAGCTATAATCCGTCTAAAATGTTGCCCAGATTCACCCATTGTCTTTGGTGGGTAACGCTCTGAAATCCAACACAGTTAAAAAGCACTGGTTAGGGTTTCTGCCTAGAAGCTAGTCACTTGTGATCACGCGGTAATTATCAGTACAGGGCTGTGGAGATTTTTGAGTTTTATCGAACTAATAAAACAGTTAGTGTTAGACTACTGTCAGAGTGGAAATCAGGAAATAACGCAATGTCATTTGGAGCGAGTGGTCCTGGGTTCCAGTCTCCAAATGAAGAACTGTAAGATGCACGTGCATTCAGCTGGCGAGTCACAAATAGGATGATACGCATATCGTGGATTCTGTTGTTATCCAAATTTTATCTATTCTATGTGAATAATTTATTCGGAATTACAAATTATTACGTAAAGTCCAATTACTGAAAGATTAGGAGAAAAAGACCAAATGTTTTATAACTCAGTGATGAAATACTATTGGTCGGAGTACGGTAACTTATATGATGAAAATATCCAGGACGTCGTAAAATAATTATCAATTTCTTCATATTTTATTCAGTAATATATATATATATATATATATATATATATATATATATAATATAACAATATATATAATAAATAATTAGAAAACTACCTTTCTCTTGTTTTATATTATGCATTCTGTATCTTGTTAGAACTCTGGATGCCACATCATTTTGTGCATGGTGATCGTGTAAATTATTAACATTTTGAGGATTTAAGTTCCAGAATATTGATAAAAGTCTTCTAAGCTTTGCATTTAATTCGATTTGTTCAAATGGATTGTGAGGATATCTTTTGCGTACTAGACATTAAGAATTTGAATAAAATTATATTCTTTTAAATCACCAGACCAGATGGAATATATTATTTTGTAATAAACAAATAACTAATTATATAAAAAGATATCATGTTTTTTTCGTGAAATTAAATTTTGGGTGTTGGTCAAAATTATACTTCTATTAGATTTATGTATGAATTGTTTAAACGAAATTAGAGAAGGTCTGATCGACTGTTTCATTTAAAAATGGAGGCCCTTGATAAAACACATCGACAGTAACACAGAAAATGGGACTCTGGATATTAGGATCTCCCGGACAACACTTATTCTTTAGACTGCCGAGCAGTCACGTATTGGTCTACTTGTTTAACTTAGTCAACTGTTCAGTGTTTTCAAGTTTTCGACTGTTGTTCGGTTCTCAAATAGGTAGCCAGTTCAAATTATTGAGTAATATAGTTGGATGATTCTGATCAGAAGATTTATTTGTGCAGTGGTTTTTAGAACCTTAGAGAATTTGGTTATTGAGGCAGACATTAATAGTTTATATATGGTCTACAATATTCAGATATCAGTTGCGTTTGACTGTTAATTTGTATAGACTTATAAATAACAGAATATAAAGTAGCATAGAAGTTCCTCTTAGTTATACTTTAGAATGTTGGAAACTGATTGAAATTTTTATTTCTCTTTCAATATCACATCATTTCTAAACAATTGTTTTTTAGGCGGTTTATCTTTCATATTTTAAGTTACAGGGATCAGACTGCTGTGATTTTATAATACCCTATCTAACACTTAAATTTTAGAATAACTGATATTGGTTATTAGTAAGAAAAGTTCGAATAAATGATAGTATGTCAGTTGGTTCATTCGTTTATTCTACAGTCAAAAGCACACACATACAGATTGTAGACTCTCAATATCTGCTGGATTTATGCATCAGATACTTTGATGAGTTAATATCAATTCATAATGAGAACGTAATATGTAGATTAATGATTTATTTATTCACAACAAAATCTTTAAATGAAAAATCATTTAAAAAAATATTCTATTCATTTATCAGTTACAATCAGCGGTGTAAATGATTGGATGAAATATTAATTTATGTTATTGCATAAAATGTATATCTTAAATGATAATAAAAACTGTTGATCAATCAAAAGGAAGAATAACAATTTCAATAATAAAAAGATTTCTGAACAAATTAATAGTGACAATTTTAATCAACAAGTTTAATTTTATTTTTTAAAATATAAAATTAATCCCAATAAAAAATTGCTAAGTTGAATTGAGAAGAAAAGAAAACATCCAATTCATAATGATAAGTAAATGATATTTATTAATTTTCGTCACTGAGCGACATTATCCGCGAAATCACCATCGATCTGGAGATAGTTTATGACATTTTGTAAATGATAAAAAAATTGAAACGGAAAATTTTAAACCATTAGGTTTTACTAAACGATATTACTGTTCAGTCATTGAGAAGAATCCGATAGTTAGTATTTTTAACAGTGTTGAGTTCTTCTTCTGTTCTCGATATAGTCAAAGCATCTCAGTTAAAGTTCTTGAGCTTGTTATCAATGTATGCCTATTTATTTCCAGATAGATTTGAGAGCAGGATAGCGTGATCACTTTTCAACATCAGTTTAAGAATTATTAGCAGCCACAGAACATTGAGTAGATATTTACTCCAAGTTAATTCCTTGAATGTATATGAAATAATTGGTGTCATTACCTTTTGTCTTTTGCAACTGCAGATAAGAGCAATTTTTTGAAATCATATTTTTCTGTTTGTTTATTTGTATACAAAAAGTGGTTTTTAATATTGTTAAATAATCATGTAGCGGATATTTCCTTAAAATATTTTACACAAGTTACTGGGTTACGAGTTGTTAATCCTATTTGGCGAACTGAATTAAATACTGAATTAAATACTTGATGACTATCTTCCAAAAGAACGGCTATCCACGCAACTTCATCAAAAAACATCAACCAAAACTATCATCAGAAGTGAAATCAAGCACAGGAACAAATAAACGCATCATCCTACCATGCATCAAAGACATATCAGAGCATACGGCACGACTACTGAAACCATTTGGAATAGGTGTGGCACACAAACCAATAGAATCACTTCAGTCAATCCTATGTAGACCAAAGGACAAAATGACAAAGGAAGAAAAACCAAGTATCATCTACAAAACAAATTGCTCAAACTGTGAAAAACACTACATAGGACAAAGTGGACGACCTCTTCAGCTCCATTTACGTGAACATCAATTAGCAGTCAAACGCCACGACAACGCTTCGCTTATATCAATACACACCGACAATTATGGACACACATTTGATTGGAACAACGTGGAAATACTGGGTAGGGGGAGGACAAAGAACACTAGAGAATTTCTAGAAGCTTGGCACTCAGGTCAATTAGCAATCAATAAACACATCGACATTGACCCAATTTATCAACCAATCAGAAAAATCATAGGTGACACTAGATCAAGAAACAGATCAAAAGAGGGAGGCAATCAAAACATAGTTACAAACAACGACAGGTCAAAGGTCAACAACAATCAATCAAGATCGAGGTTAGCAGAACAATCTGCAGGTCAAACGTGGAGAAATTCTAATGCTTCACTTCTATCTGAAGTTCATGCTGATGATGTTGTTCAGAAGAACAATGAAAGCTCCACAACCAAAACAACCAGCTCAGAGAACGAAACACCACCACAATCATCCACCTGAGCTACAAGTTTTCTCCACCATATTAAATACAGTACAGTAAAATGAGCAGCTCAGTATATAAAAAGTCGAAACTTGTCATTTGGCGTGCAAATATTATTCACTTACATATAAAGGAATCAGTTTACCAAACATTCACCATCCTTAACTCTTATTATTTGGTTGTATGAGTATTAATGATAGTTAGAAAGTATTATTCAATAAATATTTGATTCTCTGGATTTCAGCTTGATCATAGAAGCACTAACATGACATGGATTAATTATAATTTCTGTTAGTACCATAATTTTATTTCAGTAGATATGTACTTCTCGAATAAATCAAGTCTTGTCACTGACAGCGACAATAAGAAGATTAATTTCCCAGCATTTCATATACTTTTATTGATGAGTACTAGTTAACACGATATACTGATTCAAGTATTACTTTAAACTAGTTAACAGCAATATTGGTGGATGATTATTTGAATTCTCTCACACTGGAGACTACTTAACAAACGAAGTTTAGATCGAAATTGTAGACTAGATTTTGTAACAGTGGATGGTTCTAAATGATTAACTTATCATTTTCTTTTGTCTGTTTAACCACTATTAGGAACTGGTTAGTGGAACAAACATGATTGCACATGATGTTAATTCACACATAATCAGGAAGTAAATATTTTAAAAATTTGATAGTGATTGTTCAAAAGTCATTATGAGTTGATATTATATGGTGGTTATTAAATTAACCATTATAATTAGCAACAATTGACAATGTATATCTGATGATGAATAATAGTTAAAGACTATTCGAAGTCATCAATTTCATTGTTGAAACTAAAAGAATTTTATGTATTTGTAACTTACCTTTCTGATTACAATGATGAATAACAAAGTAACACAAGAAATCTTCGAAAAATCAATAATATGATTACATTTGAACATAACTCTCCATAATAATTAGACTTTATGAAATATACTTATAAGATTGTGGATTCACCACAAGTTGTTTTGTTTAATGAGAATAACAGATTTTATTTTGACAACTACCATGAAAATATTCAAAATGTTATATGAATTTAGATTTTCCCAAAACTGATTTGTTTGAGAAAAGCTTATACCACTTACCGATATAAATCAGAAGAGTCAGTAAACAGCACATAGCATTAAATAACTGTTTCCTCGTTTGGAGCTTGTGAGAATTGATTATTAACGACATTGCGGGATATCCACTCTAGTTAATTTGTGATGACCACCAAATCGTTTAGCTAGTAAGTTTCATTCCTATGGTTCGTGTGATAAAGTCATTTCAGTCTTGATACTGCTTATTCATAACGCTATGCCATCGGTCATTTGATTGACATAACTGGTCTCATCTTTTGAATAAAACGCATGGAAGTCAACAAATAGCTACCTAACTAGCTACTGATCATGTAATCGCTGAAGATTAGTGAGTGTGAACTATCATCCTTTTAAAACTCATTACGTGTAGATTGTTACTTTAATTCAAGTGATGTGGAGTGCAAATAGGCTCGAGTATGTTATAAAATACTAAGCACAAGTATTTTTGCAGTTAATATATTAAGCATTAAAACGATATAGCAAAACTGTAAGACACATTTTTGAGAGAATATAGCAGAATAAGAAGGCCGAAAAGAGATATGGTACTTTTAAAAGAACTAAGTTAGTTGCTGATAATATTTCAGTATTTTCGTATTATGTGTAAGTCTCTCTAAATTTTACACAAAGCAATTTGTAATTATATCATTTTGGTTATAGTGATGGGTAAATGTGTAACAAATATTAGTTAAAGCTTACTTAGTTTTTCATTGACAGACAGACAGACAGATACAACACAGAACTTCGTACGTAAGTGTATCAGTTCATGTTGTCATACCACGTCAGCACAGAGACGGAACTGTCAGAATGATAGCGATAGTAGAAGTATTAGCAGTATTAGAAAAGATTAGGGAGAAAGATATGATTCAAAAAGTATAATTCAGTGAGATAAAGTTAGAAAGAGAAAGATAGAGATTATGAGGAATTCAGAAGGTTAGAATTTGAGAGAACACAAAGAATGGATGCACGTAAGGCATCACAAAAGATTTTGAGCCACATCATTCAATTTCTCTAACTATCGGTTACTTTCGTCTCGTGGACCCCAACCAGGCAGTCTGCATCTACCAACATGAATCAGTCCATTTGTTAGTGACTTGATGGGTTTGTGCCATGTTTTGGTTTGACCGTCCCTAACTTTCTTCCAACTATCTCCTACACCACAAAACATAGCTCGACGAGGAAGTCGATGGTTGGGCATACGTAACACATGTCCCAACCACCGCAACTGATGAAGTTTCGATAATTTATCTGTTGATTTGTCATCCCTACCTAGTACTCGTTTCTTAACAACAGCATTGCTTATACGGTTGTCCGACGATACACGAGCAATGCTTCGAAGACATCGATGATCGAAGACTAGTAACCTACGAAAGTCCTCTAATCTCAACGGCCATGTTTCGAATCCGTATAGTAAGACAGAGTGAACCGCTGCATGGTACACTCGTCCTTTGGTTAACAAGTGGATATCTCGCCTACGCCATAGGTGACGCAGGTTGGCAAAAGCAAATCGAGCCTTCTGTATCCGTGCTGAGGTTTCGTCAGTCACCAGGCCATCGGCACTCATGCGAATCCCCAGATAAATGAAGCGGTCTACACGTTCGACTACTTCACTCCCTATCACTAGTTCAGGTGCCGATGAAACCCGATCTTGAAGCGACATTTTGCATTTCGAGGGTGAGAACCGCATCCCGAACATGCTTGCATTGTTGCTTAGGGTGATCAGAAGACTCTGCATTTTTTCAGCGTCTTCACCATGTAGGACAATGTTCTAAGTCAGCAAGCGATTCTCCTGGTAGAAAGTTCACTCCTGAAAATTCAGACGAGGATAAGGTTATATCCAGGAGCATGTCTATGATTAAATTAAACAAGAATAGAGAGAGTGGACATTCCCGACGGACACCACTTGAAGCAAAGAAGTCTGATGACAGTTTGCCATGAGCTCTCACTCGACCTGTAGTGTTCGAGTAGAAAGCCTGTATAAGGGTAATGTACACCTTTCAATGACATACACTGCCACAGAACCTCACGATCCACTGAGTCAAATGCAGCTTTAAGGTCCAGGAACACAACTATCGCAGGACGCCTATATGTGTGTCTGTGTTCCAGGGCCTGTTGCAGTGTGAAGATGTGGTCTGTACAACCACGTCCAGGTCGAAAACCAGCCTGGTTTTCTCCAGTCTGCTCTTGACGAGCACAAGTTAGGAGTCTCAGTATAATCGAGGCTAACAATCCAGAAACTATATTAGTTAGACTTATTCCCCTGTGATTGTCACAAGAAGATGTTTGTCCTTTTTTATAAATTGAGACAATCAAGGATTGGGACTAGTCAGATGGGATTGTGTTCAGTTACCAGATTCTACCTAAGATCTCTGTGAATCTAATTGCTAAAACTGGACCACCATCCTTAAAAATCTCAGAAGTCACTTCCTGGCTGCCCACACCGTGTAAGGTTGTTTCTTGAGGGACCTGAGAAAGAAGGTAGATTAGCGTTGGTCTTAGAGATCTGGGAGCGTGACCTTAGAGCCCAAGAGACAACTGCTTGAGGCCGGTCACGCACGGCCTATTTATTAAAGGTTTTTTACGTATTTCATTGAAATTAAGGTGACTTTTAATTTGGGCATGAAATTTAAAAAGAATATATCGTTGTGGTAAAATGAATATTTCAAGGTGATATGACTATTTTTCATTTGCCTTCTTTTTGAAAACTACTTCAAAACATGAAACTATTTAGTTTAATAAATTTTTTGCTGAATTAGTGATGAATTTATCATGTTATAACAACGAATAAAGACTAACTAAAGTTTGTAGATGATACGTATTATGTAATATCAAGATTTAATGGATTCTGAGCTTGATGTTACAGCAAAGACACTGTTTAGATCAAATTTGCTCTTACATATTTTCATTTACCATTGTTCTCTCAAGTGATTTCATACATTTTAATGTTATTTTTTAGCAATAAAGTTAATATAAATAGTGAATTTATTCGGGCACTGAATCCTAATTCTCAGAGGATTAAATTGGCTGAAAAATATGTTTTGTTAGAGAACTTACCTTTAATAAAAGCTACTTTTGTCTTTGAAAATTAGTTTTCTGATGTAGTCGTTATTCACTTTGCCATTAGAAAAATTGGCAGAATGTCTTCAATAAAGTTAATTACATTAGTGTAGACAGTATGGTAAATATAGTTTATTTTGAAAAAAGAACCAAATAAATTCTATGTAATTTTGAAAAATGTTATATAATATTTTGTTTAGTAACGATGGTGAAGTATAAAAATTGCATATTTTAGCTATTTAGCAATGTAATATTACCGCATATAATGTGGGGAGACAAGTAGTAAGTAGGTAAAGAACAATGTTTTTATTAAGTTGATTAACTTCTTTGGCTAAGTATATCTTGCGTACCCATACTTCCTATAAAGAAAGTAGGACCTGAGGTATGATTGTTAAGAAACAATTTTAAATTCATACGATTATATAACAGTATGAAAATTAATAACAGAAATAAAGTTGAATAGTATACGAACAGTTGACTTACTGATAATATCTAGGAATGCTCTATCTATAATTTGTTCTTGTCCATAATTTGCTGCTTCATACACTCGACATTCATAAAGACCACCATCATTTTCTTTAGCTGATTGTACAGTAAGAAGTACTTCACTACGATAATTATAATTTAATTCACCGGTAACTTGTTTATAAACAGTGATTCCTTTTGATGATCCACTAGTGATTTGTTGAAATGAATAAGCGAGTTCACGAACTATATTATTGGTATTATTGTACTTTGTATTGTATGTATCTAAATCTGACTGTACTGATACAAAATTGTTCGGTATTTGAGGATAAACTAGTATTATCGGTCGATATGAAGAAGTTTCAATTGCATAAGTTGGTCGAAACCAGTCTACTGCTATGTTGGCTGATCTGTCTTTTGTAACATATACTGAACAGGTAAGATTAAATGCAGATCCAATGGTAATCATGGATGGAGATGATATGGTAACTTTTTAAAGAAGAAATGAAAAAAAGTTATCAGCAAGTGACTTATAGTTACCTTATGATTAAACTAGAAGGTATTTAGCTACAAAATGAACTCCACACCGATGAAATTAAAAGTTTTGACGAAACTATAATTCTCTAAACAACTACTGTGAACTCAAAAAATCCATTATATTACTACGGATTATGATTTTTAGAAATTGCTCTTCCTTAATTGACATTTCGAGCATTTGCCCTGTATCATAATTCAATCTGACGTTTCATAATATATTACCTCTTCAAAAAACAGAATAGAATTTCAGCTGTATGATTATTTATAGGTTATTTGAATAACAGAAAAACACAATTACATTTTAAAAGCCACATAAAATTACAAGAACAATACATTTAAAGTATCTAGGCAACTTAGTTAATTTGTCGCCTTATATTATTCCAATTTAATAATAAAAATCATGATTATTTCGAGCGATTTCGTCAACTAATACACCCATCTGAATGATATATTTGTCTCACATCTATTTACCACATAATATGAAAAGCGCAAGAGAAGCAAAGTGGTCGAATCACATTGTATATTTTTCAATGCAAACTGTGTTGGTTTGTTTGGTTGCTCATGGTTTTGAAATCAATTTCTATCAATATTCTGCACAACTGATGTACACAACTATAAGAATACTTGATATTTTTTGATGAAATAAATTTATTCAATGGAGAAATTTACAATTAATGACCAATTTTTTTCTGTGTATTTTTATAATTCCTTTTTGGTTTTAAAAAAGAGGAATAAATTTTAAACAAATAATAATGATAATAACAATCATGATAACATGGCGCATAAATCATCGGTCAGTAGTGGATTAATTGTTTGTCCCTTTTTTAAGACAATTGATGAATGAATAGATGAGATAACTATTTGTTTTTCCAAACGTACAAATAACTCATTGGAATATTTGTCAATATTTGAATTGAATAGCTTGGTAAAAATCTAACTTGCAAATAACTATTTCATAGTAAAGATGAAAATGAATTTTTGATTTGTTTACAGAGAGTCAGAAGAAAAAAATTACTTGAAAGCTAGAGGCATTGCTTACAATGAATATTATTTTAAAATGTTCACTTATTTATTAACTGACTAAAAATGGGCTATAAACAATCATAGAAAACAGAGTAAACTACACAGGTAGTGAAAGAAATAACAGGGAATTCAGTGGATTTAAAGAAAACAAAAAAAATCAGTTTGGCTACATACATTTCTTGTTATCATGATTAGAAATTTAAATATTTTAGTGTTATTAGTTCGAATGAATAGTTTTTCAACACTAGATTAGTCATATTATCAGTTTTCTAATTAGTTTCATATCAAGGGATTGATTACTAGGAACTATCATTGACTAGAGAAAGATTGAAGGTCAGAGTGTGTTGTTCAGCTGTTTTATCTCTGTTTGGGTCTTTTTAACACTGCTAATTCATGATTATACATGGAATGCAGTACATTCTTGTCGAAATGTGAGCATGACATATTTGGACTAGATTATTGACATATTTAGGTTCTAATCAATGATATAGAAACTGACTATGGTTATTAGTTTTATAAAAAAGTTAAGACATAAATTATGCAGTTTCATCTAAAAGTACTCGAGTGAGGAGATATATAAAGAACTCGTTATATAATGATCATCATTTAGGAAATCTAATAATGTATTCCCCAAAACGTATCTTAAACCACTGTTTGATAAATGATGAAACAATAAACCATTACACTGTTTGAGAATATGGAATACTGATGCATAAAATGTGACTGATAAACGATTTGTCTTAAATATGGATAAAGCGTTGTAGTGTTAAAATGTAAAGATTACCAATACGTCTTTCGATAAACTTATGAAAACATACGAAATACTTCTTCAATACTGTTCACATAGTATTGTTTTTGAAGAATACGAATAAGAGAAAGACGACAATTAAACTACTTTTTCATAATAAAAGAGAATATAATAATATTACATCTGTTTATTGTGATGCATCCTTTTGCATTGATATATATACAAAAGATTATTTAAGAATGGGTTTCTCAGAGGTGTGTTCTATATTTTTTTGAGCTGTTTTTAGTTCTGAAAAAGTCCATAATAACAACCAAGTTTCAAATAATTTTTGAAAATCTCCAATTTCTTCATCATATACATCATGTATGAAATTTGTAGTAGTAATGTAATGAACAAAGATGGATGGTATGAACAATTTCTTTTGAAGAAAACACAGTTTACTAGTGTAAGCCTTATCTTCAGATATCCACTTTCAAAATAAGCGTATTCTTGGCTGTCTTCTAGTCTTTAAACCCTCTGGTTACGTCATATATCCGAATCCAACAATCTTTGTTTCTGCAGTAGTTTCCGGGTGACACTCCACTGAACATCCATTGCATACTACTTTTATGAGTAGTACACGTGACAGTGCCAGTTCGTGTTGATCAGTTACTAATAATGCAAACTGATGAGTAGTGAACTGTGCAATGAATTGTTGCACAGTTCACAAATCTATGACTTTAGCATAATACTTTAAACGTACAGTAGTTTTGACGTTATTAAACAGTAGTATCAAATTAAAAGTGAAAAGTTGTAGTTTAATTGTATCACGAAAAAATGAAAATATCTTTTTCATTTTAATCAAAATTCAAGTTAATCATGAGTGAAACAGAAACAACAACTGAATGAGAAAAAAACTAAACCCATCAATCATTAATTTTATTCAATTTCTGACTGAATACAAATGACATTAAAAACTGGTGAATATTGTGTAAAACAAACAAATAGTGAACAATAGTTAAGATTTGTTTTACAATAAATGTGTATTCTGAATTTTGATATGATTTCTCATGGGATATTTATATGTTCATATCGCTTTGATGTATGATATATTACCAAATTTCATCTTTTCATGATATTCTTAGATTTATATACAAGTATTATCTTAACATAGTTATTGAAAAAGCAACAGAAAATTAATAGACAGTTAAAATTTAGTAAGCCGAAATATTAATTTTTTGATTTCTTTTGCTACCTTCAGGATCATACGATCTGTTGATTAACAAAAATAAAAATTATTATATAAGAACGCTGTTTTGTTTGTGTATTACAGGTGAATTTATATTTTCTTTCCAGTAAACATTCTGAATGGTAAAATCATAAAGACGGTATAATGTGAAGTCTGTACTGCTTTGCATAGTGTGATGTATTTACGCAAACTGGTTCGAGCGAAAAACTCAGGATGCATATTACCTTAATAACGAAATAAATAAGTGAGAACGGATTATGGAATAAAATTAAAAACAGAATTTAAATCTTCGTTCGGTATGCAAAAACCTATTACCAGTTCATCTCACTTGGTAAACGGAACAAAGATCAACGATGAGTGACACGATAGGCTGTTCTAATTCGATTGTCCCAGGTCTTGCTAACTAGAGCAAGAAATCTTAATGAGGCGTGGAATGTATATGCAGAAAGGTTGAGGTTACCAAGCACAGAACTCAAGCTTCTTTATACAGTTGATAAAAACGCCGTTGGGAGAGCCACAAAATAAAGTACTGAAATAATACATCAACCGATGACAGTTAAGGATTTTCCTTGTGGGAAATGTTATATGAATGTCAACTAAGCGTCCAATACGCGAAGATAGTGAAATTTAAAATTTCAGAATAAAATCACAAAATTAAGACCTTTTCCAAGTGAGTTCTGGAGATATACAGTCTGTAATATAATCATCGTAAGATGAACAGCAGCTTTGGGATGCAGATACTCTCGGCTGACGAGTCCGCAAATAAATGAGGTTTGCTGCCTGGATCCCACTACCAGCCAAATTCCATCTTTTTAACACATATTGCAATATAATTTTTACATGATGTTTTACACATCATTATGTTTATTTCTAGTGATAATTTATATTGTATTAACAAGTACAAAATTAAAGAATGAATGTAAAATTCTTCCACTTAAGTGTCATGGGTGAATAAAATCCAAGTAGCTTTCAATAATTCTCATCTTAGCTAGAATTTCTGAAACACTTCAAACACACCGTCCTTAAACAAATCCAAAGCTGAAATTTCAAGTCAGAAAGCAATATTGATATATATATATATATATATATATTATTACAATGGTATAATTCGTAAAGTTATTGTTAATTTATTTGCTGTGAAATATCTACCTCAGTGGAATTGATATTTGTTACCCGTTGCCTTTCCAGTTGATAAAACATAAAAGGCAACCAAAAGCTTTCCTAGTGAAAACACTAATTAATCTCTTGTCATTTTATAGCAGTCTTTTACTTTTTACAATGTCAATAGATTTAAAAGCTTTTTATACAAACCATGTGACACAATATAATTTGATCATTACAATCCATAAGTTTAAACAAATAAACAGGTAGACACTTGTTTTTCCTTTACTTCAATGTTTGGTTTCATTAGTGTGTTGCGTTTTAAATATTGTTGTAGCAAGTAAATAAAATATAATTTCATAAACAGGGAAGTAAGATCAACACCTAATTTCCATTCACTTAAGATAACTACTGTTGTATTTCTTAGAATTTAACATGGAATAAAGTAAATAATTTGACAAGTCACGATAGATATCGCGTTATTACCATTATCTCAGCTGGTTTTATTCAAGATCAGATTCTTTAAGCAACTATCTGAAAGTGTTTGTTATGGAAAATGTTTTAATTAAGAAAAAAATTTCTATTAGATATAAAATGATTACTAATATCAAATAAACTAACATAAGTGAAGCTCGGCAATATCTGCTGACCTGAATATGAGAGGGGGTTGATTCACTGTCATAACTGTGTACGGATTAACTAACGTATATTGGGACTGTCACGAAATTCTTTATTATTTAAAGGTGAAAGGTAAACTGTTTATTGAGAGTGAAAATGTATCAGCATAGCATGACGTTATTTTCAAAATGAGTTCTATTTACTGTCCATTATTTAATTCATTGTAAATAACTA